CCAATCTGGATCTGCATTCAATGAGCGAAACCTCCTGCCTTCGTTTTTGTTTTTTTGTTTGTTTCTTGTTTGTCCAGTGATTAAGAGAGTCTTTTCTAGAATGCAATAGGAATGTAATTATGATTTTATGGAGTCACATATTTTAACCTGGCAATACAGATTTTGTTAGAAATGATGATAAAAATGATTGAGGAATCTTATGGCATTTAGTGGGTTTAACATTCAACTTAAAGAGTGATTTGAGAGAACCAAATAGTTAATACAATAGGAATTAAAAAAACAAAAATCTTATGTTTCTGATTTTTTTCTTGTTTATTTGTTTATCTTTTAAGCTTTCCAAGCCATTTATAACTGCAGTGGGTTATAATACACTGCATATATGGTGAAACAATGCTTAATATGTACCCAAATCATCAGATATAAACACAGCAGGGATAGCACCTATAAAAATCTTACACTTAAATATAAAACATGTCTGTATATTCTTTTTCATCTATTTTGGGAGGGTAGTTTTGGTAGTAGGTCTGGTGGAGAAAATATTGGAATATAGAAAGATCCAGTTGGTCAGTTACATTTATTTTTAAATATGGTTGTAGTAAAAGGATGATCTTGCATACTAATACAGATGTTATATAATATTAATTCACGTTATAATTACAATCACATGCTTATTCATAAAAATTTCCTTAGGTAAGAAATGGCATCAATATTAAATAAGTGAATATAACATGACATTTACTACAATAAAGATTGGAGGGACTGAGTTCTAGAAGAATGAGCAGAATCCAGAAAGTATGACATCTTTTATGGAGTAGGAGCAACATAGAGGAGAATGAAAGCTTCAGAAGATCAACTTTGCTGAGTGATAATGAGATAAAACAAACAAAACTACATCCAAGAAAACCAAACAGTGTTATGTTGTTGAGGACTTGGGAACTGAATTTTTTTTTTTTAATTTTATTTGTTTATTTGACAGAGAGAGAGAGAGTGAAAGAGCATACACAAGGAGGGGGAGCAGTAGAGGGAGAGGGAGCAGCAGGCTCCCCATTGAGTAGGGAGCCTGATGTGGGGCTTGATCCCAGGACGCTGGGATCGTGACCTAAGCTGAAAGCAGATGCTTAACTGACTGAGTCACTCAGGCACCCTGGGAATTGAATTCTTGACTGTGGAATGAAATTTGCTCTCTCCCAATTATTCATAGTGGGCTTTGGGGCAAGTTATAGAAACTTAGAGACATAAGTAAGGTCTGAGATTAAACGAAGCACGTGCCAAACCAATGAGAGTTAGAGAAATTATCATGCCTTTCCTCAATAGGTAATGCGGCAGGACGGCACTTAGTGAAGAGATAGAATCAGATTTTCATCCAGTCATACAGTCTTCGGTTCAGTATTTCTTAGACTTCTTTGGGTCAAGTGTTATTTGTGTTAGATGCTAATTAACCATTATTGATCAAGCCCTTATTCTCCAGCCTATTCTCCACCTTTTTGCGTCCTGCTTGAGAAACATTGTATAAATATAGTAGCTATGAACTAGTCTCTAAGTACAGAACAGTAGGATGTCATTACATAGGTGGTATGGACATTGAGCAAAGATTTATAATAAGCTTTAGAAGACAGACATCTGTTATCACCTAGCTGTCATCACCCAATTTCTTATTCTTAAATTAGGGGTATTAATATTTGACACTTCCCTAGCTTTGCTCTTTGAGGTAACTGAGATTACCTTGTGAATGTTGGTGAGCATCATTAGGAGTGCAAGGCTATATATATAAATACACATTTTATTCCATTATTCACTCCAACATGTCCCATGAAATTTACTAGTGCAATTATAATTCAAAGCAATAGGATATAGGAATTTGAGTCACTGGACAAATCTGCACTGCAACTTTATTTTGTGTGGTATATTTAATATAGAATTTTATTAAACTCTTTGAAAATTTGTCCCCTTAAGGGGTTAGGTTAAATAGCCTGGATTAAAAAACTGAAATTTTAGAATAACAGCTGAAATTCTAGCTTTCCACCTTATTATATTAACATCTCACGGGGGATTCCAGAACAGTAGATGACTTTACATAATATGAATTCAATACTTATTTGCATTATGCAGGTGCATGCTTTAGATTGGATCCCAACAAACTCACGTCTCAGGCTTTATTTTGAGGACTGTAAGTTTGGTTTTTTTGGGGGGTTGTCTAAATTTCAAATATAAAATTGATAATGAAAAATCACACGGCAGGGGCGCCTGGGTGGCTCAGTGGGTTGGGCCGCTGCCTTCGGCTCAGGTCATGATCCCAGGTCCTGGGTTCAAGCCCTGCATCGGGCTTTCTGCTCAGCAGGGAGCCTGCTTCCTCCTCTCTCTCTGCCTGCCTCTCTGCCTACTTGTGATTTCTCTCTGTCAAATAAATAAATAAAATGTTTAAAAAAAAATCACACGGCAACTGTTATTTAGAATTTTAAATATTGATTTTCAGAACAGAAAAAATGTATTTTTGAATGCCTGGTTGGTGCATTTATGAAAAAATATGCAATTCCTCAAGCAGAGTCTGGAACAGGGCAATCTAGTCAAACACATGAACGTTTCTGCAGCAAAGCAATAAATATTTATATAAAGTAGGATAAATAGAGACTTTAAGTTGCCTCAGATCAGCTAATTTCCAGTTCTCCTGCCAAATTAACTTGAAGCCAAACATTCATTTTTCAGAGCTTTTTGAATTTTCAGCTTGTATATCTGGGATTTCAGATTTCATTCCTTGGTGGCCTTAAATTCTTGATTCATATTCTTGGGTATTTATTCTGTCTCCTCAGTTACTCATCTTCAATGTGAAGATAATAGTAGAAACTACCTCACTGGTTGTTACAAAGTATAATATGTTGCTCTTAATACAATGCTTAAAACAGGACCAGAATATAATGGGGGCTATTTAAATACTGTTTTATAATATCATCTACTTCATTTAAATCAGGATCAGAAAAGAACAGGTTTGCAGTGGATTAAATTCAGTCCACTGTAAACAAAAGCTGTGTCAAGTTTTAACATGACAAGTTTTAAGGCACTTTCCGTTAGTAGATATCCAGTTTGTAGGCATTTTCTACCCTTGCACTTTCCCTCTCACACAGCCAAGTTGGGAGAATGGGCAAATAGAGCCATGGGAGAGGTGTTCGTACCAGTCTCTTCTATTGGCAATAGAAGTTTAGACAGAAAAGAGGTGTAAATTATGGACTAAAATAGCATCCTAAAAATGAGATTATCTTCCTTATTTAGGGAAAAGTTGATGGATGATCTCTCTGGCAGTGGACCTCTCTTAGGACCGAGATAGTGATATTTAAAAAAACAAAAAAAAAACCAAAAACCAAAAACAAAAAACAAAAAAAAACAAAACATGACTCATATGAGGTGATGTCAGCCAGAGAGCCCAAGAGCACCATCCTTGCCAAGCTCAACGGGACAAAAATGCCCCCATGCGTAACTTATATTTTTCTTTGCTGGCTTAGTTATGGGAGGTAGAGATGGAGATGAGCTCCTTGCTCTCCTAAACAACCTCCTACTCCTGGGCAAAATAAACTGAAGATTTTTTTGAAGTATATAAGGCAACAAATCATGCATTTCTTTGTCACGAGCTTCCTCACAGACGTGGAACCCATCTGGCCGTGGAACACAGAGTTCTAGCTTCCTTGGCTTCCACAGTCATTCCTGGATGGTCATGACCCTCTTCTCTCTTCCTTAATATTAATCTTTCCCCTAGTTTAAGACCCCAGGTTTCAGATATTTATAGCAGTGTTGATATGATTTTAATGAACCCTCTCAAGATATTTTCATATCTTCATGCAATTTTTTCAACTTGTGAATTCATTTATAGAACTTAAACATTTTTATCTTCTTGTAACAAATTTTTGGCCATGAAACATCACTGAGAACATGCACAAGTGCTATTACAGGCTGTAATTATGAGATACCTCGTGCATAGTGCTTTGCAGTGAGATTTTTGTGATCCTGTCTTACAGTATCCTAGATAACGGAGATTTTGAGAAAGCTACCAATATTGAGAAACATAACTCCATCCAATGATAGTGCAGTACTAAAAAAAAATGAGTCCTTTGAATAGATAATTCCTTAAGAAGGCGTTTGGTGCCCAGTGGCTATAGACTGTTATGAAATGACACTCTATTTTGCAAAGCCAGGTTATATAATAATATGCCTGGCACTTACTGTCCTGAATTCTTCAACATTCCATCATGTTCCCAAGAGGAAAAGTTCTCTGACTTCATTTAGCAGGAAGGTTGTTGAAGGGGGAAAATATGTTTCCCTGTATTTTGAGTAAGAACAGACAGAGGTCTTTGGACGGCTTTATGCTGCACCATGGGTAAGGAGGTTGTACTAAACAATCTATAAGAAGTAATAAAAGTGCTATTTTTTTAAAATAAAAGAACATTTTATTTGCTAAAAGGAGAAAAAAAAATTCTGGGGAAGGCATTTTTGGAATACTCTTTCTTGTGAACATGAATTTGTTTCATTGACTTGACCTTTATAGTGTCATAAACATGGTCCTTATGTGCCTGCAGTTTCTCAGTCCTTCCGATTTTCCTCCCTCAGGTGTGCTAAATCTCATCACTGACTTCACCTGGATCCCTGGGGGTTTCTATAACTTATTTCTAATTCCTGTACGAACCCTTCTGTGTTCTGGTACCTGATACATGTTAGTAATCATTTTACAACCTTTGCTTTTTAAAATATTTTTGGATAGCCTTTCTATTTAAGATCCAGGAATTTGTATGAAACCACTGAGGTTATATTGCTTCTGAACTAAAGGTTGTTGGTTTGTGGAATTTCCTTCCACTGGAAACATGTATGGGTCTGTGGCTCTAGTGTTTTCCCAGTTTTATAATATCCTACTTGTTTGTTTTCATTTTCAAAGCTGGAGCATTTACTATTAATTTCCATATTTTATAAAGGACTAACTTTTTTCCTTCCTTCCTTTTTTTTTTTTTTTCCTTCTTCAGTTGAAAGAGACAAAGATTTTTCTCACCAGCGAAGGCATTACAAAGAATTCCGGTTTGATCTGACTCAAATTCCTCATGGGGAAGCAGTGACAGCGGCTGAATTCCGAATATACAAGGACCAGAGCAATAGTCGATTTGAAAATGAAACAATTAAGATTAGCATATATCAGATCATCAAGGAATACAGCAATAGGTAATGACTTTATATCTAACTTACTATGCAAACACAGGCTAATTGTAGTAAAAATCACTGATAACCCATGTGATCTATCAAATCATCTTTTCTTTGGATGTAAAGACATTGAAAACCAGGTATAGACACATTGAAAGAGTGATTGATCTGAAATGTGCCTTCCACATTCCCTAGATAGTCCTTCCTCTTGACACCAATCTGTATACTAGATGGTCTCATGCTTCCCAGGCCCCTTGTTTCATTTTGTAAATGAGAAAACTTCCATTTTAGTATGCACACATAAAACCGATAATTAAAATGATTTAAATAACTTGGTGTTTTGTAAGTTAGAGAAGAATAGCGTTATTACTCCCTGGCATGAATGTAAATTGCCTGTGTGTATTTATGTGTATTTTGATATAAGGCATTACCTTTGTAGCAGGTTCTGACCATTAACCTTTATGTCTTCTGTCTGTAAAATGCTTAATTCAAAATGGTGCAAAAATGAACAGATAACCTGAAATACTAAATATATGGAAACTTCAGTTGATAATTACCGCAAGTGAACTGTCAAACAGAAGAGTTGAAAAAAAAGCATAGTAGAATTCTCTGACCTTTCCTCCAGTGAAGAAGTCTCTTGGTTAACACCTTTATAGGTGATAAGCTACCTTTGTTGGACAGTTCTTCTGTTATCGTTGTTTTTTTTAACTCTTTTTTTTTTGAAAGATTTTATTTATTTATTTGACAGGCAGAGATCACAAGCAGGCAGAGAGGCAGGCAGAGAGAGAGGAAGGGAAGCAGGCTCCCTGCTGAGCAGAGGGCCTGATGCAGGGCTGTATCCCAAGACCCTGAGATCATGACCTGAGCCGAAGGTAGAGGCTTTACCCAATGAGCCACCCAGGCGCCCCTGTTTTTTTTTTTTTTTAACTCTTAATTGATATGTCATATTCAGGTGAAATCTTTCTCCAGTAGCTTGCAATCATTAGATCTAGATCTATCCTTTGGTGAAATGGTATGTCATTCTTTGATGAGATAGATATTTAAAGACAGCTATCTTTTCCCCTCCTATGCTCCTCCCTCTCCTTGTTGAATATTTCTAGTCCCTGATGTTAAGATTTTTCTTGGTCTTTAAGAATGCCAGAGTTCCCAGTGGGTACTCAATGGGACAAGAGCCCCTCATAATGCTCAATGAAGAAAAAAAATAAAAAGCTTCTGAGATCAAATCTATTTGAAAATCCTACCTGTTAAACCATTCTTTAGGAAGTTCACAATGCACATTAGAATATTAAATTCTTAGGGGCACCTGGGTGGCTCAGTCATTAAGCGTCTGCCTTGGGCTCAGGACATGATCCCAGGGTCCTGGGATCAAGTCCCGCATCAGGCTCCCTGCTCAGCGGGAGGCCTGCTTCTCCCTCTCCCACTCCCCTCGCTTGTGTTCCCTCTCACTGTGTTTCTCTCTCTCTGCTAAATAAATAAATAAAATCTTAAAAAAAAAAAAGAATATTAAATTCTTAGAAAAGGTTTAGAGTAAAGAAACCTTGTCTTCCTCAAAATTATTTGACTATGAAATCTTTTTCTTTGGGTATATAATACTTAATACCCATGAAACACTGTTTCAGCCAGACAGATTTTAGTAAGTGCTGATCTTATTTTAAGAGCAGTAACTCCAAGGTAGATAAATCTTGTGTTTGTTTCTTAGCTTAAACATTTACTAGCTATTTGTCTATGGGTGGATTTTTGTTTGTTTAAATCTCAGTCCAGTGGTTTCATTTGTAAAATAAGTATACTAAATTTGGGTGGGGTGTTGTTTTTGTCAGAGAAAGAACCTGGCATATCACATTGTTTTTTTAATACTAAAATACTAAATATATTGATATTTTAATACTAAATAATGATGGTGTCTTTAAAAATTAAGTGATGAGAGGGGGTGCCTGTGTGGCTCAGTCTATTGAGCATCTGCCTTCGGGTCCTGGGGACCTATGTAGTTGGGTTCTTAGAGAGGAGTCTGCTTCTCCCTCTCCTTCTGCCCTTCCCCCTGCTTATGCTCTCTCTCTCTCTCAAATAAATAGATAAAGTTAAAAAAATAAGATTAAGTGATGAGAAGGCACCTGGGTGGCTCCCTTGGTTAAGTGTCGGCCTTCAGCTCATGTCATTATCCCAGAGTCCAGGGATCCAGCCCAGTGTCAGCTTTTATTTAAATCTATTGTTGTATATGTTCAGGATATTATTTTTTAAAATATTTTATTTATTTATTTGACAGACAGAGATCACAAGTAGGCAGAGAGGCAGGCAGAGAGAGAGAGAGGAGGAATCAGGCTCCCCGCTGAGCAGAGAGCCCGATGCAGGGCTCGATCCCAGGATCCTGGGATTATGACCTGAGCCGAAGGCAGAGGCTTTAACCCACTGAGCCACCCAGGTGCCCCAGGATTTTTTTTTTTTTAAGATTTTTTTTATTTGGGGGTGCCTGGGTGGCTCAGTGGGTTAAGCCTCTGCCTTCAGCTCATGTCATGATCTCAGGGTCCTGGGATCGAGCCCCGAATCGGGCTCTCTGCTCAGCGGGGAACCTGATTCCTCCTCTCTCTCTCTCTGCCTGCCTCTCTGCCTACTTGTGGTCTCTCTTTCTCTCTGTCCAATAAAAATAAATAAAATCTTTAAAAAAAAAAGATTTTTTTTTTATTTGTCAGAAAGAAAGCAGAAGCATGGAGAGCTGTAGGTAGAACAGGCAGAGCAGGTAGAGGGAGAAGCAGGTTCCCTGCTGAGAAAGGAGCCTGATGCAGGACTTGATCCCAGGACCGGGAGATCATGACCTGAGCCGAAGGCAGATGCTAACTGACTGAGTCACCCAGGTGCCCCTGCTCAGGATATTTTTAAATGTTATCCACTGAACTAGCCATCCATTTCACTTTCTTTCACCTCTATTTTTTAAGTATGTGAATTGCATAACTTAAGACATAATAAACATGATTAAAAAAAGGACTACTAGAAGAGACTATTGATAATAATTTATAGATTGATTCCTGATCAATCCATGCTGATTTTTATGAATAATACATGTGGGAATATTTATGGGTATTGATGCTTAGCTTATCAGATTTCACAGTTTTGAGAATTTTAATTTCTTCAAACAACGAAACATTTGTTTATCTTGAAATTTTGCTAATTCTCTAATAATACCTGGTTTGAAAAACATTGCTCTCAGTGTTTCTACAACGGCATCTGCATGTTTTTTCAGTACTCTTGAGTATAATTTGGCTAAGTCTTTACTTATTTTAACATGTGTTTAGAGCTATTCTAAGATCCGAGATTTCCTACTATCCTTGATATTTTCCCTAAATCTTTGAGAAATGATTTCTAAAATCTAAAGTACATGTATATATTTGATTGATACTCTCTTGACTTGCCATTCTAAACTCTAAGATAGTATAGATTGCAAAGGTTTCCATCCAATTTACTGAATAGCATTTATAAAAGTTCAGTTCAGTAAATTAAATTCCATGTCAATTCAATTCACTTAAGTTGACATTCTTGAAATCTACTATCACGTATTGTTGCTGAATTGTCCTATAGGTTTATGCTCTACTTACTGTTTTCTGTGGGTTTTGTTTTTGCTAATATATATAGGCTTTTTCCCAGTTATCTTTTTCAATCTCTGAAACATGCAAACTCACACACGTATACCCTACATTTCAGTTTTATATACTATTGATCAGCTGAAAGAATCTCTGGCAAAATGCTTTCCTTGTCTTTGAAATAGGCATTCATCCATTACTAGAGCCTCGTTCATCCAGTGTAAGAAAATGCCTTGTCTTTGTCATACATCCAGGACTCACTTTTTGCACTCCCCTCTTTGTTCAAAATATATCTATGTAAGGGATGGCTGATATGGAAACAGCACATGTGCCTCTTAGAATATTTCAAGTTTCCATGTGGGATTTCAGCCACCTAGAAAATAGTGATGTATACCAATAAGAGCATGGACTTTGGAATTCCTCTATGGGGGAAGCTGCTGTATATCTTAGGATCTCAAGTTTACAAATATGAAAAGAATAAAAACAATAATAAGTATTTCAGAACAGTAGAAGTATTGCAGATGATTTGAGAAGAACTAGTGCTTATCACAGTACAAAGACTATAGTTGATACTTTATAAATACATTGGTCAGCATATACTCATATAGCTCAGTAAGAGTATCTATTTTGTAAGGGTTTAGAGGATTATATCCATAGGGGAGCCAAAAGTAGGTGGTTATTACAGTAACAATAACTACCATTTATGGATACCTGTTTTTATGTACAGATCAAGTAAGTAATATGATGCCAGGTGCCTTTACTTAATAAAAAAACACCAGATCTTTGATTCATAAAAAAGCAATTGGTACATTTTTAAGTTTATTAATGAAATGAATATCACCCAACTTAACAGCAACATCATGGAAGCTATCTCTGAACTTGCCCCTGAAAGCATATGTTAAACAAATAATCAAACTCTTCTTTGAAATACAGTTGAAGAGTGATGGAGATGGGAGACTAGTTATTTATGAATTACAAAGAAATATCAGAGATGTAGACAAACTGGATTCACATATAAATGTTTACTACAGTATTATTATTTGCAATCACATAACTCGTTAAACAGAAAATGTCATACTTCATTTTATGGAAAATGGAGGTACTATACTTTATATAACAAGTAGAAATGGTGTTTTAAAAAATATTTGATAACACTAGAAGGTTCTCAGACTATAACATTAATTGATTAACATATGGGGCGTAACTATACTATTTTAAATAAATTCATATGGAAAACAGATCAGAAGGAAGCACTGTTTATTGCAGTCTTGTGGGTTTGAAATTTTAATTCTTACCCTTTTATGTACTTTCTAAATTTTTATAGCTAACATTGTTTTTATAATCAGAAACAAGTTTAATTATAGTTGAGACAAAGACAATAATGAAACAACCTCATGCTACAGATTTCTTTACAAAATAGCCTTCCCAAGGTACTCTTGCCAGAGGTAGAGG